CCAAGTGCTGGGGTTACAGGCATGCGCCACCATGCCGGGCTCTGTAAAACCTTTTAGACTTGAATAGTCTCTGCTGTATCAGAGTTGGACAACTGAGGTTCTAAATGAACATGAATATATCTGAATCATCCTCTAGGTTAAGGATATTCTATGACTGGGCTAATTTGGTCCTTATAACTAAAGGAATGAAAGAAAGGAAGGACACAGCTCAGGGGTTCTACCTATAAGATTCCATAGCCTATTGAATATATTCAGTAAACATTTGCTGAATGTAGAATTAATAAACTAATACATCCGTCAATGAAAAGCTACTGTGGCAGAGGCTTTGGTGTTCTTCCTGCATTCCTTCAGCACGCCTACATAACTAAGGCACACATTTGCTAATATTTGTAGCTGTCTATTTTAGGGCCTTTTCTTTTCTTGCTTTAGGTGTACTCCACCTGTCTTCCCTCCCTCAGTAAACTGGAAATGCCAGAGAGTTGATGAGCCAGGAAGCCGCCTTCACAAACAGTAGATAGAATATTGGTGGGCCAATACCTCAGCTTCCTTACCCCTAACTGGACTAACTTTGGCATGCTCTGCACTGTCTCCCGGAGCACTTCACTGGGCCTGGGCTCTGATTGGGCAAAGTAGTCTCTTGTTTGATGACGTTTCCTTTGTTGTCCCCCTCCTTTCTCCACACCAGCAGTACCTTGCAGGATTCCCTCTTAAAACGAAACACAGACACTACTTGCAATTGAATTCATATTTCTGAATCTAGTTATAGGTGAACCCAAACTAAGGTGGCCACTGAATGTAGAATTACACATTAAGTACTTAAAAAGATCCCATTGTACCTGGAATGTATAGTTGAGTAAAAAACATTTGAAACAAGTGCTGCAAAGCATGACTCCGCCCAGCAGAGCCGAGGAAAGACGACACAGACACCAAGGTGAGGTTCAGGCTTCTTCTTCTCATTCTCTCTCTCTTTATTACACACTTCAGCCCTTCATATAGCATTCCCAACAGCCCTCCCCCCAGCCAGGACCAATCAGGGCACACACACGTAGCGGGCAGGCAGAGCGGCAGCCCACTGGGCTGCGCAGCAGGACCATACTCGATGACGTCCCCGATCAAGCAGGCAGCACATGACTGGGCCCACCGCGCCCGCGCAGGCTGAAGCAAACAAGCGAGGGGCACGAGGCCCGGCAGCCAGCCAGGGCACCATCCCGGCCGGCCGGACCGCGCCTGCTTCCCAGAGGCAAGGACCATCTTCTTATCAGTAAAACTCCTTCCTCACAAATCATTAATCATTTGAAAGAAAAAGTCATAAAAAAAATCCACTAACATAGTGTCCACTTAGAAGATTACTCCCTCAAATTTCTTTTCTCATAGTAACAGTTAAGTTTGTCTTGTCCAGAAGACCCTATTAGCTTACACATTTGGCCATGTATATTTAGCCAAACAGTACTTATAAAATGTCTCTCAGTTCTAATAAGACCTGAAATTGGGCTGGTGTGATGGTGGCTCAGTGGTAAAGGTACTTGCTACTAAGACTGACAACCTGAATTCCACCCCAGAACCCGCATGGTGGAGAAAAGAATTGACTCATCCTCTGACCTCCATATGTGTGCCGTTGCACATACATGCCTACATATACATACATACATATAAAAATAAAAATGTCAAAAATTTTCTTTTTCTTTTCTTCTTTCTCCTTCCTTCCTTCCTTCCTTCCTTCCTTCCTTCCTTCCTTCCTTCCTTCCTTCCTTCCTTCTTTCTTTCTTTCTTTCTTTCTTTCTTTCTTTTCTGCCTCTGCCTTCTTAGTACTGGGGTTAAAGGCATGCACACTACACCTGGCTTAAAAAAAATCTTTAAATTAAAGGTGATGGGGGTAGAGAGATGTATAGCTCAGCAGTTACGATCACTGGCTGCTCTTGCAGAGGACCCAGGTTTGATTCCCAGCACCCACATGGCAGCTAACAACTGTCTGTAACTCCAGTTCTAGAGGATCTGACGCCCTCTTCTGACCTCCATGGGCATTGCAGGACATGATTGTACTTACATGTATGCAGGCAATACACTCGTACACATAATAAAAAAAGTTAACGGTGAAGCCATTCCTTAAAAAGTAAAGAAGCCAGCCGGGCATGATAGCACATGCCTGTAGTCCCAGCACTTGGGAGGCAGAGGCAGGCAGATCTCTGTGAGTTCAAGGCCAGCCTGGTCTACATAGTGAGTTCCAGGACAGTTCTACATAGTGAGTTCCAGGACAGCTGGGGCTACAGGGAGACCCTGCTTCAAAAAGACAAAAAAAAAAAAGTAAAGAAACCTGAAATCCTCTGAAGGCTCCCTCTCACAGCTTTGGCGGGCACCACTCAAGCTGTTAAGGGAGAACATCAATTGATGGTCCAACCCCCAGCTTTAAGGCCTAAAAACCACATCAATGACCAGCACAGCAAACAATATTGGTGCAGTAGTGGCACTTTTATCAGCAGCTACCTAGTTGGACTTAAAGCCCTACTCAATGGGAGGAAACTCATATGTGGTACTGAAAACCTAGACAAATGCACATAGCCGAGGAGGTCATAGATCTTAGGGAAAACTCCAAGGATATGGATCCTTAAATCTATAGGCCAGTATCCCAGTCACCACCCATCAAAGAAGCTTCTTTTTAGAGACAGAGATAATTACAGTGTTCCACAACTGGTCATACATGAGGATTGTCTGTGAATTACACAAGCCTAAGTGGCACATCTAGGATGCAACCTCTACACCTAAGGCTCATGGAACATAGAACAAGGGATGAAGAGAACACTAATGCGTCTTTTCAGTTCCCATCAATGAAACTCACTCATGCAGCAGAGGACCAGGACAGCAAAAGGTCACAAATGGCGAAAATAAATAAAATGCCTATATTAAAATCTACCTACCCAGGACTCAGGGATCATTGTGGAAGAGGGGGCAGAAATATTGTTAAGAGCCAGGGAGGAGGTGCATGACCATACAGAAATGGTCCTACAGGTGCCTCGGACTCTTCTGATACAAACCTACAGCAGTGGTGTCAGCATGCACAAGACCCATGCAAACTTAGGCAGACAAAAACCCAGCAAAGAACTGTGACTGCAGAAATGAACAACAGGCCCCAATCTTAGTTGAAGAATTATTGGCAGCTGATTACTGCTGGGTGAGAGAGAGCTGATCTTCTTAAAGGGAGGGACTCTAGATAGGCTGACTAGGTCCTAGTGGATGAACTTGCACTGTGGGATACCTAGGGATACTAACTTGACATGATAGGCCTTAACACAAATGACAGAATATATGAACTCCAGTGGGGGGCTATGAGATGGTGCTAAAGGGGAAGAATCTATAAAGATGATTTTATATATGAAATACACAAAAATTCAATAAAAATTAAGACCCCCCATCTCAAATTTTTATATTTTTTCTTTATTTTTTTTATTAATTTTATTTTATGTGTATGCATATATTGCCTGCATGTAGGTAAGTGCACCCATGTCGTGCAATGCCTGAGGAGGTCAGAAGAGGCTGTTGGATCCCCTGGGACTGGAGTCCAGACAGTTGTTAGCTGCTATAGGGATGATGGGTTTCAAACCCAGGTCTTCTACAAGAACAACCAGTGTTCTTAACTGCTGAGCCATCTCTCCAGCCCCATATTTTTTATTTTTCATAAATAAAAATACATCTCTCTTGAGGAGGTTTTATTAATATAGCTAATACACAAAAGCAAAAAAAAATCTGAAATCTTGCAAAAAGTGTAACACTTCATATAAATATATGAAAACAATGTTGAAAAAATGTAAGAATCAATGCAAAACTGAACAAAAGAAGGTCTGTCAGAAGACCAATGACAAATGAAGATGGGAAAATAGATAACTTTCCAGAAGAACTGTCTGAATGTCAAAGGATTTTATGGATGTTTTTGAAAAAATTAGTGATACCTTCAGATATGTTTAGCAAAACAAAATAAAGCAAATAAAACAAACAAACAAACAAACAAACCTCCAAGTCACTTTTTTTGTGCATACACCTATAAGTCTAGTACTTTCGAGGTAGAGGCAAGAAGATCAGGAGTTCAAGGCCAGACTGGGCTATATGAGACCCTGCTAAGCCGCTCCCTGAAAATGTTTACTCTGAGAAAGAAAAGGGAGGGATATGCGCTATGTTATGCTATATGTTGTTTCAGGAAAAATTCCATTTCAGACCGTTCCATTTCTATTTTGAGTGACAGAACCACACTTAGATCTACAATGCTTTGCATCATTCCCCAATATTCTTGTATTGAAAACTTACTCCTCAGAGTCATATGTTAGTGGTATTTGGAGATAGTGGAGGTAGTTCAGATTGGATTAAGTCATGAAAAAGGGGCTCATCTTTTTAGTATTAATGGTTTTATAAGACTCAGAGGAGAAACTTGAACGCCGTGTTTGTGATGCTTCACCTTGTGATGCCCTCTTTTATGTTATAGTGCAAAAAGACCTCACCAGGTGCCAAGTGGATGCTGGTACCATGCTCTTGGACTTCCTAGCCTCAAAAACTTGGAGCCAAATAACTTTCTATTCTTTATCAAGGAACTAGTCTCAGGCATTTTGTTGTAGAAGCAGAAAATGGAGTAAAATACAGCTTTTCTCACACAATGTATTTAATCTCAAAGTCTGCTTTATAATACCCTTTTGAGAAGATTATAAAAAACATGTGCTCTGTTTAGTAGATTGAAATACGAAGGAGTTTTAGCCCTTGTTTTACAGTCTCCTTTTGTTGGAAATCTCTTAAACACGGAACTGAGAACATTTGCTATCTTTCCTGATTAACAGATACATTTCTCAGAAACATATCTGTAACTTCCAAACAGTCCCAGCTGGCTGTAGCTGGGGTCTGTGTAATTGATAAAATGCATCTGGCTTCAAGGCACAGATCAAGCGCAGAGGCAGGCTTTGCATGTCCCTGGAGAATCCGGTTGGGCTGGGAGCTGAGTGTCAGGACTGCTAGCTCTAAAAACATTGGAAAAATAACCAGAGCAGGGAGGCAGCAGGGGAGACGCCTGCAGGGCTCTTCTGGTGAAACCCAGTCTGCCCTTCCAGACAAAGTTGCCTGCTCTCCTGCCCTGAATGTTTCCCCAAAGATGAAGGTAAGATAATTTAGTACTTATATACATAAAGACATCTCAAAGGGGGAAGGAAATACTTAACTGGAAGAAATCAAATGAGGAAACGGACATGGAGTCTGGGAGTGACTGAAAAAATCCTTATCTAAGTTGATTTTTAATAGTTCAGCCAAAGTGGTTTGGTTTTCCATATTTTGCAGTTAAATTACAGGCGGAGGGGGCTGAGACTAAGGAATTGAAATCAATGTTTATGAAAGTCTGAGAAAGCAATACAAAAAATACGATAGTAGTGTGGTTATTTCTAAGGCATTTTTTCCCCCTCTAGTATGGTTGTTTATTTTACTTTGATTTGGAGCCATGCATCCAGGCTTTGATTGGACTACATAAACACTTTAATAGGAGAGTGGATTTGTAGCTTTGGAACCTTAGAATTCAGAATTGTGGATGAAAGATTCAGAACTGTGAAAGCAGACAACGTGTGTGGGATGATGCTAAAAGTTTATCAGACACACAATGGACCAGGAGAAAATGATCAAATATTTTAAAAAGTCACTATACAGCCAGGCATCGTGGTGCATGCCTTTAGTTCCAGCACTTGGGAGGAAGAGGCAGAGGCAGAGGCAGGCAGATCTCTGTGAGATCAAGGCTAGCCTGGTATATATAGTGAGTGCCAGGTCAGCTAGGGCAACAGGGAGACCCTGCCTCAAAAAGACCAAAAAAAAAAAAAAAAAAAGATTTATCGTCCTCTTTTTTTTTTTTTTTTTTTTTTTTTTTTTAAAAAAAAAAAAAAAAAAAAAAAAAAAAAAAAAAAAAAGTCACTATGCAGCCAAAGACGAAACCAAAGGTAGAAATCATTATCATAGACTGAATTTCAGGACGGGAAAACAAGTTGAACTTGCTATTGTGATTTGTGTGTGTGTTCACATGTGTGTATGTGCAGATTGACACTGGATGTTTTCCTCAGTTCTCTACTTTTTGTTCATTTGAACCTGGAACTCAGCAATTTGACTAGACTGACCAGCCAACACACCCCAGGGATCCTCCTGTCTCTGCCTCCCCAGTGCTGGGATTCTAGGCATGTGCTGCCATGTTTGACTTTTTATGTAGGGCCAGGATCATGAACTCAAGTCTTCATGTTTACACGGCAAGCACATTACCAACTGAGTTGTTTCCCCAGTCCCAATTTTATTATTGCAGATTTGATATTTAATATGAGAATTTTGCAATATCATACTGAAGCAATGATTTTGCAGCACTGTCAGCTGTGGGACTGCCTCCAGGGTCACTATGCTGTCTGCTCACCAGTGGGGCTGGAGAAGGAGCAAGATAAAGATCATCAGTAAGCATGGATTTAAATAGTCAAAAATTAAAATACAAATTGCAAAGATAATGTGTTTAATGTTACAATTCTACAACACCGAGAAACCTTCTGAGTTAGACCTATGACCCAGTCTGGTATCTATTACTCTGCCTTGTAGATTTATTCAGAAAATTAGAACACTTGTTAGCTCAAAAAGGAATATTATGAGCTTGTTAAAGTCATCTAGTTAACCTGTTTTTTCCTAATATTTGTGTTAACTGTCAAACTACTTCCTTACGTATTTTATGATGAGACATCTTAATAATTGTTTTGTTTAAAATGTGCTTCACAGTCATTGATTATTATGACATTTTATTGTGGTGACAATAAGTACACTTTTTTCTTTTAATTGGTTGATAAACTGTCAAACACTGAAGAAATAGTTTTATTGCAAGTTGCAGACAGAGTTGTATCTGTATTTCAAAGCAGATATTTACACTTTTAGAACAAACCTGAGACTTGCTTTCACAGGTTCCAAACAAGGGAAACTTGGGAAAGCCTTCGACTACCAAGACAGAATAAATGATTTCCATGTCTGGCTTTTTAAGGGGTAATGCATTCCTTCCCCATCCACGCGAGATAAACTCAGAGGATGGCTCTGGAATACCCCTTCGTTTGCTGAGCATCCCTTGAATAGGAAATAACTTGGATCTGAACTATTCAAGAAAGTCTTAGAAACAAGGGACTTGCCTCTGAGTTAACTGAGTTATTCCGTCCTCCTAAGACTGAACTTAGTCCAGAATCTGAAAACTAGGAAATGGTTCATGTCAGGCACAGTGGTGTCTCAGATCAGGGTTTTAGCTGGAACATGTTAGAGGAAGCAGGGAGAGATAGTGCTCATTCAGTGATGAGAAAGAAGAGAAAGGAATTCAAGCAGTTGTAGTTCTGAGCGGCACTGACAACAGTTCATGCCCTGTCTTTCAACTTGGCTGATTCTAAACTAATTATTTCTAATCAACTCGTGTACAGGACTATTCTATCTCCTTTGACAGTGTTTGATGATCTTTCTAAAAGGCAGGAAGAGAAATTGCTCCCATTTTAGGGACTGTCTTAGTTTCTTTTCTGTTGATATGATAAAATACCCTGACAAAAACAATTTAAGGAGGCTGATGCTCAGTTCCCGTTCTCCATCTATGCAGTTCAGGATCCCCTGCAGAACAATTATGACGACTCTTCTCATATCAATTGGTGTAATCAAGATAATCCCCACAGGCTTGCCCAGAGGCCACACTTCCCCTGTGGTTCTAGATTCTGTTGACAACACTAACCATCATAGGGACTCAGCTCACAAAGTTTCAGGATATTCTTTTAGTTAGAGTCATCTTGTTATAATCCATAAACAGAACTGGCCTTGCAATATGCAGACTCTGGTAGGCTAAATATGGGCTATCTCTATGGGAATGTGGCAGCAAAGACGCTGGTGATGATAGAAAGTATCTTCCCTAAAAATTGGTTGAAATGCTATCTAACAGGATTAAAAAATCTTTTTTGGTGGTGCTGAAGCTCAAAACAGAGGGCTCTGTCCTTCTAGGGAAGCATTCTGCCACTGTGCTGTACCCCAGCCCCCAAATGATTTCTTTCATTATGCCTAATTTGGCTGCAAGTTATAAACCAAGAAAATGCACCAGACTCAGGATTTCTGTGTATTAAGGTGAGATGCCATATGCTCTAGTCCTACTGCCATCTCCATGCTTAGAGTATGGAGGACTGTATTCCCCAGTATATGGGGGACACAGGGAATGATGTTCTATGCACATTTGAGGAAATTTAGGGGTACAGGTAGCTTTGGCAGACTAAATCAACTTAGCAGTGGCAGTCATACCTTGTACATTCATCAGAACAAAGATCTGCACACTTATCCCATGGACTATAGGTAGGCTTGGGAAAGGTATCAGATCTGCCTGAGAGACTGATCCCCAGCATGATGATGCAACACCAGCCATGACACTGTACACCAAGGACTCCTAAAGGCAAGTCATGATGAATCAGAAATTATACACACAAAGATGAGTGACTTGTGCCGGGGATCAGTGCTTATAGATCCCCAGTGGGGACTGCAAAAACCATAAAATCACCCGGAGAGACAAAGAACCAGCATTTAAACTGGTGCCGTGATTTTCCATCACCAGACTTCAGCCACATCAGTCAAGCTAGATCTGTGCTGGCTCTTGTCTCTCTTGGTCTTGCTGCCCGAGCACTGAAGACAGACTGCTTGGGAGGGAGAGGACAGAGTGAGGTGGATCCCACTTTTCCCTCATCATAAGCCCCTATGAGCAGTGAGTAAGTTAGGAATGTAAAATTAGTGCTAAATTGAGGGATTAAAGAGATGGTTCAGTGGTTAAGAGCACTGGCTGCTCTTGGGTTATGTTCCCAACACCTATATGGTGGCTAACAACCATCTTAACTTCAATTCCAGGGGATCTGATGCCCTTTTCTAGCCTCTGTGGGCACTGTATGTCCACGGCACATTCATACACACGAAACACTCATACACATAAAATAAAAACAAAGAAAAATAAATAAGTAAATAAAATTAGTACTAAATTAGGATTGGAGAAATGGCTCAGCTGTTAAGAGCACTGACTGCTCTTGCAGAGAACCCAGGTTTGGCTTCCAGCACCCACATGGTGCAAAACTCCACTTCCAAGATATCTGACACCTTCTTCTGGTCTCAGGCATTGTACGACATGGGTGCACTTACACATATGCAGGCAAAACAATCATACACATAAAATAAAAAACAAACATTTAAACTTAGTGCTAAATTAAGTTTGAGTATTAGATTGTCCTATAACTTTTAGGTCCTGAAAATATAACTACTTGCTAATGCCTGAGTGATGAATAAATCTATGAGATGTGATTTCCCATGGGTGGGAAAAAATATAGCTAGAAGAAAGGCAGTGTTGGAAAACAAAATGTGTTGAAAAGTCAGTAAAGGTCTGATAGCACAGGTGTGTAATCCCTACCACCTGTGAAACTGAGGCAGGAAGGAAGGTCCCAAGTTCAAGCACAGCCCAGGAAACTTAGTGAGACCTTGACTCAAAGTGAAAAATAAAAATAGGGTTTGCCTAGTATGTGAGAGACCCTATGCTCAATCCCTGGTGCTCGAAAAAAAGGAAGGCCAGAGAAGACAATCCATTACTGTCCGTCCTTCTCCTCTTTTTCTAGGTGCTGAGTACCTTTCGACCTTCTGAATATGTTATACAGGGTGCACAGATATGTAATATTATAGATCTGTGGAAATATGAGAATTACAGACAGATGAGTAGAACTTCGTAGCTGAAACGAAGGCACTTAATTAGACCTGGGTATTAGGAAGACCAGTGGAAGAGTTTGGAAAAAATGTTGGGACGGTGCTCCATAGGTGTGATGAAGAGAGCCCAGGCAGAAGACCAAGAACACTGGCTCCTTCAAATGGGGGGATGATGACTTTAAGGATTAAAAAAATATATTCATGAGGGGTGTGGTGGCACACACCTTTAATCCCAACACTTGAGAGGCAGAGGCAGGCAGATTTCTGTGAGTTCAAGGCAAGCCTGGTCTACGTAGTGAGTTCCAGACCATCTGGAGCTATAGGGAGACCTTGTCTCAAACACACACACACACACACACACACACACACACACACACACACACATATATATTCATTATTTTTGTTTTTGTGTATGAGTATATTGCCTGCATGTATGTCAGTGCACACATTTTGTGTAATGCCTGAAGAGGACAGAAGAGGGTGCCAAATGCCTCTGGAACTGGAATTATGGATGGTTGTCAGCTGCCATGTGTGCTGGGAATTGAACCCAGGTCCTCTGCAAGAGCAGCCAGTGCTTTTAACCACTGAGCCATCTCTCCAGCACTGACTTTAAGGACTTTTATACTGAGTTATGAACTGAATTTTTTTTTTTTTGTCTTTCTGAGACAGGGTCTCTCTGTAGCCCCAGCTGTCCTGGAACTCACTATGTAGACCAGGCTGGCCTTGAACTCACAGAGATCCACCTGCCTCTGCATCCCAAATGCTGGGATTAAAGGCTTGCGCCACCATACCTGGTATGAACTGAATTTTTTTTTTGTGTGTGTGTTTTTGAGACAGGGTCACCCTGTAGTCCCAGCTGGCCTGGAACCTGAGACCAGGCTGGCTTCAAACTCACAGAGATCCACCTGCCTCTGCTTCCCAAGTGCTGGGATTAAAGGCATGCATCACCACACCTGGCATGAAGTGAATTTTTAATTGAAAGTTTCATACATGCGTAGAGCAAGTTTTGATGAAGTCCACCCCCCATTTCTTCCCCTCCAACTCCTCTTCTGTACATCACCACTTTTTCCTCCCAGCTTCATGTGTTCTTTTTTTTTTTTTCATGATCAAGTAGGCTTTACTCCAAGGATAAATATGCAGAAGTCAATAAATGTCATAAATCATATAAATGGGATCAAAGACAAAAAAACACACTGTCATCTGAGGGAGATGACATACTTCTTTTGTTTTTCTGAGTCTGTGTTACTTCACTTAGTATGACAATTTCTAGATTCATCTATTTACCTGCAAATTTCATAATTTCATCTTTCTTTATTGCTGAGTAGAACTCCGTTGTATAAATGTACCATATTTTTGTTAACCACTCATCAGTTGAGGGGCACTTAGGCCACTTCCATCTCTTAGCTATCGTGAAAAGAGGAGCAACAAACTTGGTTGTACAAGTATCTCTGAAATAGGATGAGTCCTTTGGATAGGAGTGGTATAACTGGGTCATATGGTAGGCTCATTTTTAGTTTTTTGAAGAGTTCTCCACTGCTTTCAATAGTGGTTACATGAGTTTGCAATCCCACCGGCAGTGAATGAGCATTCCCCTTTCTCCACATCCTTGCCAGTTTTTGGTATCATTTCTTCCCTTGCTCTTAGCCAGTCTGACTGGGGTAAGATGAAATCTTAAGGTGGTTTAAACTTACATTTCCCCAATTACTAACAATGTTGAACACTTTTTAAGATGTTTCTTAGCCATCTATTTCTTATTTTGAGAGTTGTTTAGATCTTTAGATCATCTTTTAATTGGGTCATTTGCTTGAGTCTTTGTTTTTGCAGTTCTTTATACATTCTAGATGTTAAACTTCTGTCAGATATGTCACTGGTGAAGAGTTTTCCCCACTCTGTGGGTTTTCTCTTTACTTTCTTGGTTGTTTTTTTCATAAGTTTTTTAGTTTAATGAGGTCCCACTTCTTAATTATTGACCTTAATTCCTGAGCAACTGGTGTTCAATTTAAATAGTCCTTTCCCTATACCTTGTAGATTACTGCCAGTGTCTTCTAACAGTTTTGGAGTTTCAAGTTTCACATTGAGGTCTTTGATCCATTTTGAATAGACTTTTGTACAAGGTGAAAGATAAGGATCTAGTTTCATTCTTCTACAGGTGGCAATCCAGTTTTGCCAGCACCATTTGCTGAAGATGCTGTCTTTCCTACATTGTGTGTTCTTGGCACCTTTGTCAAATATCAGGTGACTGAAATTGTGTGTACTTGGGTTTGGATCTTCAGTGATGTTCCATTGATCTATGTGTCTATTTTTGTGCCAGTACCAAGCTGTTTTTAAGACTATAGCTCTGTACTATACTTTGAGATCTGGTATAGTAATCCCCCCAGTGTTGCTTTTTGTGCTCAGGATTGCTTTTGGCTATCCAGAGTTGTTTGTGCTTTCATATGAATTTAAGGATATTTTTTTCAAATTCTGTGAAATATGTCATGGAGATTTTGATTGGGATTTCATTAATCTATATATTGCTTTTGATAGGATGGTCATTTTCACAATAGTAATTCTTCCAATCCATAAACATGGGAGGTCCTTCCATCTTCTGGTGTCTTTGTCAATCTTTTACTTTATAGATTTAAAATATTCGTTGTAGAGATCTTTGATGTTTTTGGTTAGGTTTATTCCAAGATATTTTTTGAGGTTATTGTGAATGGAGGGTTTGCTTGTACAATTTTAAAAAACCCACCGAGTCTACTTAGTACTGCCAGTATGTACATGGATGTAGGACTATCTACTAGAGCAGGAGTAGCCTCTCAGTGTCTGCAACCCTGAAGAAGACTGACTCTTCCACCTTCAGTAGCTGTCAATTCCCAGAAACTCCTCAACTAGGGGTGTGACTTCATGAGCCCCTACCATCCACACCAGGAGTTTTGCTGGCTTAATCTTCTGCAGGTCTTGTGCATGCAGCCCCAGTCGCTGTGAGTATCTATGTGCAAGCACCCCATCATGTCCCCAAAACTCTGTTTTTCGGCAGTTATCCACTATCTCTGACTCTTACAGTCTTAGATTTGCCCATCTCCCATGATCCCTGAGCCTTGAGAGGTGGGGGTGTGGTAGTGATGTGCCATTTAGGGCTGAACAATCTAGTTCTTTCTAAGACTCAGTGATATTCCACTGTATTCATTTTCTTTCTTCTTTCCCTCTCTCCCTTCCTCTCTCTCTCTCTCTCTCTCTCTCTCTCTCTCTCTCTCTCTCTCTCTCTCTCTGCTGGGGGTGAAAGTGAAATACAGGCTTTCATGAAAGTTGTACAGGGAACTACATTCCTAATCTCCTCTTGTTACACTTTCTTTATTCTTTCATCCAGTGAGGCACTTTGGCTGATTTCATGTCTTAGCTCTTGCGACTGCAATAAATATGGAAGTGCAGATATTTTTTGGCATGCTGATTTTGTTTCAATGGGATATATAGCCAGTAGTGGGATTGCAAGATCATTTGATAGCTCTAGTCTTAAGTTTTTTTAAAAAAGAACTTTCAAGTTTCTATTTAAAACGCAATCTTAGAAGGAGAGCAGAGTCATTCATCTTTTCATATGGTTCTTTCAGTCTTTGTAGTTTCAACTCACAAATCCAGACTGATGCAGATATATTGACTTTACACTTATTAAAGAAATAAACGTGAAAGTAATACTTCATTGTTTTTCTTTTCCAGGCAATAAGCTTGTTCATTTTGGTGGGATTTACAGGAGAATTTCTAGCTTTTTCCAGGTAAAAATATTTTGGATTTTGTGTAGAAATTTTTAAAATGTAAAAAAATGAGTAAATATATAGTTTTTATATTGAAGTTTGAGTATGCTTCTACATCTTGCCTTTCCATGTTTTCAGAAAAGTTAATAGGTGTGCTTTCTTCTTCTTCTTTTTTGTAAGAAAGAAACTTCAAGGCAAAAATACCTCCTGATTTTTGTCTTAGTGCCATGGTTTTACTTGTCATTCCGAGAGTCACACCAGACCTAGAGCAGTATTTGTTCTATAAATGTAAACCTTGCAAAACATTCTCTGGATTTTAAAGGCTGAGAGTGTTTTTGTTTTAGAAAATAGTTTTGTTGGCTCTTGAGAACTGGAAAAAGCCAGCAGCATTTATCTGTGACCTTGTTTTAGTCTCACTGTTGGATTGATGGAAACAGGTCAGTTTACTTGATGAAACCATCAAAATAGCTGCCAGGAGATGTGTGCAAGACCTGAGGACACAAAGAAGAAGGAGACAGCATGGAGAGTTCATTGGGTAACTTAGGTCCTGAGACATGCAATTCGAGTGCCGTAAGGTCCTGCACAGGGTGATGAAGGCAACAGAGGGACAGTTAGGGAGCTTCCCTCCTAAGTCCACATGTTAGTGGAGAGCCTCCACTTTTCTCTGGGACACAATGTAGGCAAACAACAGTAAGTTTAGCTGTTTGTTTAGGGCTCAAAACACTCAGGAATTTGGTTTACTGGTGCCATGTGAAAGCATTTTACCAAGATTGGGTCATTAAAAGCACCAGAGGTACAGCTACAGTATAGAATGTGATTCATTATAGTCAGGGTCATTTGACAGCTTTGATAGGCAAGAATTACCTTGACCTAAATAGTCTCCCAGCCTAGGAATGTGCTAAGAGCTGATAAATCACACAGAGGTTTTTAATGGTCTATTCACAAGTTTTCCTTAACCTCTGAGGACTAAGTCAGGTGTCCTCCACAGACAGGATTTAACATCACATGAGACTCCAGTCTATCCACCACATGTTCTTATGATGAGTAGAATTTTTAAATTTCAGTTTGCTCCCTCCCATGCGTGTGCTTGAGAAGGGGCCCACATGAACAACATGGGGGATATTTATATATAAATTACTGTCATATAGCCTCTGCTAATTTTTAAGTGTCCTACTGTTAACATCATCTTAAAGTATCTTGGGTTTCAAGTTTCTGGATAACTCTTTAAGTCATTATTGAGTTTCTTCAAAGGCACAATACCGTCCTCCTTTTTGTTCTTACCTATGCTTCCAACTCTGACCTTTCCTTTACTTCTGTTTCACAGCATGTCTTATTTTAACATCTGTTATAAAATGCATTCCATTAGATCTGATTATGATTATTTGTATGTCTCTATCCTTCCCTCTATGAATAGTCGATGGCCTATCTTATTTCTACAACTCTAATATGTTAATGGTACTCTGTACACAGTAGGTCTTTAATAAATGTTAATCTCTAGTAATATGAATTCCTCTCCTCATTATATATATGTGTATCTATATATATACTTTTAGTATCACTTAGAATTTTTAAAAAAATTGTATTTTCTTTATTAATAGCATATATTAATTATACAAATTAAACAAAATGGTTCATGGCGAATTTTTGTATAAGCATATAATGTACATTAAAGTACTTTTGTTTATTTTTCTGAGACGGGATCTCATGTAACCCAGGCTGGCCTCACACTCAGTATGACCTTGAACTTCTGATCCTTCTGCCTCTGGCTCCAGAGTGCTGGGACTGCAGGTGTGTGCCATGATGTAATGTTTTGACTATGCTTGCCTATCCTTTGTGTCCCTTGCTTGTCTTTCCATCTGCTTATGCTGGACAATGTGATATTATGACAGAGCCTCCTCTCCAGTCAACTGCCAGTGGGACTCCTATGGCCCGTGGTCAGAATGCAGTGGTTGTACAAAGACTCAGGTAGGTTTTTGACTTGATTATTGCTTATGTGTGGGAAAAGTGTAGGTATGGGCACAATAGCATTGATCTTTGAATGTTCATTAATCTGTGTTAATGTATTTGAAAATTGTTTTAGTAATTTTCAAGACAGCAGGGTATGACTTATTTAAAATATTGTAATAATGTAGTGTCTAAATTTTTCTTGAATGTTTTTTCTAAAGCTTGTTTTTAAAAAATAGTTTATTTATTGCTGGGTGTGGTGGCACACGCCTTTAATCCCAGCACTTGGGAGGCAGAGGCAGGAGGATCTCTGTGAATTCAAGGCCAGCCTGGTCTACATAATGAGTCCCAGGACAGCTGGGGCTACAGGGAGACCCTGTCTCAAAAAGACCAAAAATAAATAAATAAAAAGTTTTTAATCTCTACCTTCAAATTTAACTCTTGAGGGATCTCTAATGCTGCCTTTTGTTTCACTGTCTATCAGAAAGTTTATTTATTATTTTTATTTTATGTGTATGAATGTTTTGCCTGCACATATGTAAGTGTACCATGTGTATCATGATAGAAGCCAGAGAGGGTGGTTGGTTGTTAACTGCCATTTGAGTGTTAGGAAATAAACCTGGGTCCTCTGGAAGAACAGAGTGTTCTTAACAACTGAGTCATCTCTCTAGGCCCCTAAAACTTATTATTATAATTTTTTTTGAGACAGAGTCTCCCTGTAGCCCCAGCTGGCCTAGAATTCGCTATGTCGACCAGGCTGGTCTTGAATTCAGAGATCTTCCTACCTCTGCTTCCCAAGTGTTGGAATTAAAGGCATTGTTTGTTTTTAACTAACATGAAGGTAGGCTGAAAGTTAAAGGTAATAGAGACAGGTAAAAGAGACAGGAGTAACAAGAAATGAAATTAGTAGAAAATTCAAAAATCTGTTTTCTTCACTGGTTTCAACTTTTCCTCTCATTTCAAACAAATACCTGCAAATAGCAGAGTGTCTAAATATTTTACTACTTCACAAATTGTGAACAACCATGAAAAACTCAAGAATTTTCAATGGTTTAAATTTACTTTCTAAATAAAATAAAATAAAATACTGGACTTTACTAGGATATTGTACAGCACTTCTAAAAGTGGGGTTTTTCTTTATGTAGTATTCATTGCAGAAGATATAGAAATGTATAAATCAAGAAAATAGTACTCATGATTCTACTGTTTAGAAGAAACTAATATACCATCATTTTGGTATTTATTCAGCTTATTTTGGCCCTATATACTTATAATTTTTAAACATAATTATCACCATGGTTTGCATTGCGTTATAGAACCTAACATTACAGTATCAGCATGAACTCATAGCAGGTATATTAAACTCCGTTGTATGAGTATGTGAACGTATTTACTCACCTTACCTATTTTTGTATTTGATATTTAGGCTGTTTTCATTTTTTGTTTGTTTGTTTTAAAACAGGATATTATGTACCCCAGGCTGGTTTCAAACTCATGGTCCTCCACATCCCAAGTATGAGATCCAGTTTTTAAAACTATAAATGGAGTGTTAATGAGCAGTTTTGTACAAAACATCCATTCTTTTTTCCTATCATCTTCTTTGGATAAATTCCCAAATATACAATGTTTGTTTTAAAGATTCTGCACATTTGAATGGGTAAATATTTTAAATGGTTCAGTTAGGAAGCAATATGTATTTTAAATAAGTTTAAGTTAACTTGAAAACATTTTTATTACATTAAAAATTTGCTTGCATGTATGTATGTGTATGGGCATAGCCACATGTGGTGGTCAGAGGTCAATTATGGGAATCAGCTTACTCCTTCTACCATGTTGGTACCAGGGACTGAATTCAGGTTGTCAGGCTTGGAGGCAAGCACCTTTATCCACTGAGCCATCTTGCTAGCCTTAATTTTAAACTATTAAAATAACAGAACCATCTCCAAAGAGATAATTTCTTCTTTGACACACCATTGGCATCTCCTTCCCCACCTTTTTCTTTGCATTGCTTGTGGTCAAACCCAGAGCCTTGGGCATGCGAGACAAGCCCTCTGCACTGAGCTGTTTCCCAGCCCTACCACTTTCTTTGATACTAGGTCTCACTCTGTGCCCCGGTTGGCTTTGAACTCGTGGACAATCTTGTGCCTCAGCTTTCCAAGTGCTAGGATTAAGGGGAAGAACCATGACATCTGACATCATTTTAATGAAGTGTTTATATGTGAGTGCTATCTTCAAAACAAATTACACAAATGAAAAGTTTGGCATTTAGCAAATATAATATATAATGACTCTGATTGCAGAAAAGGATACATGAATGAGACTGAAGTAAAAGAAACAGCAAGTGCATAAAAAAATGAATTCCAAAGAGAAAGGCAAATAGAGGGTATTTTTTATGTAAGTAGTTTTTGTTTGAAGACGGTCATCATACAATGGATACATCCTAGATGATGAAACACAATTTTTATTCGGAAAGAGACAGGTGAAAATGAAATAAGGTCATAGGATCAGCATCTGAGAGGTGAGAATGAGTCTGTGGAGAACAGGCAGCCGTCAAGGGCAGGCTGGCAATGAGGAGAAAGGAAAACATGTCCTGTACAAAGTCGTGATTTATATCATTTATGCTTAGAACCTCAGCAAAGGTTGATAAACTAATCATGAAACATGTCTTCATCAATTTAAAAGAGAAACTAAACACCCATCAAACTTGATTGGGGTCTATGCCTCACTTATACCTCTGCTGCTTAACTGCCTTGCAACATGCCAGAGCCAGGCTGTGGCTGACACAAATGCACTCACACTGCAAATTACATTAGCATGACTGTTTGTTCCAGGTGGTCCCTATTTCTAACCCAGTTTAGGGTAGATGAGTAAATTTGAAATTGATTTGTATACCTATTCTTTGCAGTTGATCTTCACTCAAGGGTTAAATCCTCCAGAAACAAGACTTGGTTTGTTTTAATTAAAGGAGAAAAGGCAAGCACTGGGAGAAGCCTAGAGGATGCCACTAGCAGGGAGGAAAAATATTTTGCAGCTCATCAGTCTTGTTTAAGCATCAGATAAATGTCTTCATTGATGTGAATTAAATTAATTTTAGGACTGGTTGTAAATTTCTCATTTAGCTTGATGATGTCTTCAGTTTTCTTATTTTCCAATAGAAACATTTTTTTTTTAAATCATGTTTTCCATTTCAGAGCTCAACTCTTGATCACCTAGTAAAATTCCATTGTTAATTTTCCTTTATCTTTGGATGGCTTAAGCTTTTTGTAGAGCGGGCCTCCACATTAGTCCATTTCTCTTTTCCTTGCTTTGCCTTCTGGGAAGTCTAAGGTTTAACTCAAGTTAGTCTCCACCGTTTTATCAAGGTTTCCTTCACTTCATTCTAACTCTTTTCTCAGTAACCTTCCTTTCCCACCAACAAAATCCATTTTATCTTTTCTACTTAACTCTTGGAATATAGCTTTGTCCAAAACATTAATCATTCTATATTGCAGTATTTTACTCTTTCAGGTTACTTTCCCAAAGAGTCACAAAAAAGTTTCTTCCTCAACCTACGATGAAAGTAAATACATAGTTGGAAGCGCTCTACAAATAGCATCCAACTGTCACTGAACTCAGTGGCAACTGAACCTGTGGGTTCATTGATTTTGTAGATTGTGCAACACTAGAACCAGTTCCTGGACATTGTTTCTCAAACTGAATTCGTTCTTCTCAGATTTCATTACTCAGGAAAACTCAAGACAACAAAAACTAAAATAGTAAAATAAAAAGAAATGTTCTGCTTTGTGTTGAGACTCGCAGGCGTTCAGTTGCTGTTTACGGGCAGTTTGGGGGCCACCCGTGTGTCGGAAGTGCTTTTGAAACACAATCCTGTGAACCTACCCGAGGCTGTCCAACAGAAGAGGGCTGTGGAGAACGTTTTAGGTGTTTTTCAGGTAATTTGTTTTCCATGGGCTAACCATCAGACTGTAAATTCAATGCTATTGATTAAACCTGCTTGATATATATATTTTTTGAATTTATTTGGGCCTATAAATTAATTTTCCCCAAGTACCAGCAAGGTTTTTGTTGGTATACTAATCCCACAGTCAGATGAATCACACACTCAGATATCATCCTTTCAAATGCAAGGAAGGTAGCTGGTTACAATGGCAGGAGCATTCTTTGTCTCTTTAATGGGATTATAGCTATTAACAGGCTCAAGCATTTTTGTTTTTTTGAGACAGGGTTTCACACAGGTGAGGCTGACCTTGAACTCTCTGTCTGTATAGCAGGAAATGACCTTGAACTTCTGATCCTCCACCTCCCATCACCATGCCCTGAAAAAAATTTAAGTTTTACAGCCAGAAGAAAGTACATAAAGAATCACTGATCACCATGTTAGAATTGTTCTTAAACAATGCCTGTCAAACTCCTATTGTAGTTTGAAAATCCAAATCAGGTGATAGCTGCTTTTGGAAGCCTTTGCTGAAGCCCAGGGTGATAGAATTAATTAGCAAATCACTTCCCTCTGCTTACTATGTATCTTGTACTCTCCGTAATCCAGATTGTTGGCCTAAATGTCTGTCTGGTACCCATGGGTTCTATTTCTTTCATTTTTTCTTATGGAGTACCTGATACATAGGTAGATGCTCAACAGATGATAGCTGTTATTGCCTTGAATGATGATGTATAGTGGTCTACATGCTACATTGTGGGGACATCTGCGCACAAAGTGTTCAAAGAGGTCATTACAGAGGAGGAATGCCCTTCACAGTCTGTGGGATAGGGATGTTTTTCAAGGGGGGACAATAGCTCACTTGATTCTTGAAAGATAGGTGGGAGAGGGGTAGAGAAAATCCTTCTAGACAGAACGATGTATTAGGTATTAGAGATGACAGAAACTCTGATCTGTATTCATACACATGGTCTAACATGAAGGGGGCATAGGAAGCTGGTAGGGGAAAGGCTGGAATGACGCTGGGGAGGGAAGACAGGGCCTGGATCACTCGGTACCCTCTAGTGCTTCCTTGGTACTCTGAGCTATTATAATAATTATGATATAATGATTTATGTCTTCATAGTCTTTCTTAGTAGATTATACAGCATATGAAAAGTTTGGAAAAGACAATACATGTTTGTACCTCAATACCAGGAAGCAAATTTTCTGCAGGGCAGACACTGAATAAATGCTGTTTTATCCTTTTGACCCAGTTCTCATGCTCTCAAAAACTGCACATTTTAATCACCAAGAAAAGCACAAATTTTGCCTCTTGGTAAACAATTACAGAAATGAAATCAAAAGTTGAAGGGAGGACATCAATCTATTTTACCTGCAGGCAGCACTATGTGGAATTTGGAGGATTTAGAAATCAAAAGCTTGATGATTATGGGTGTGAGCCTGGGATTTTGAGCTCAGGTTCTATTTTCAGTTTATGCTTGGGCAAGATGAGAATCAATTCTGTGTGCTGAAAAATGGAGACTTACCAACACTAGTCCTTTCTAGACACTCTGAGGATTTGTCTGAAACCTACACTAGTCTACCAGTGCTGTGCAAGGGTCTATCCCAGACAGTGCTTCCTCTCATTCCTCTTTTGTATTTGCCTGGGGGCTTTTCTTGTGGCCAGGTCAGTGCATCAGTAAATCACTAGTTTGCAATGGGGATTCTGACTGTGAAGAAGATAGTGCTGATGAAGACAGATGTGAGGACTTAGAAGGCAGACCTTCCTGTGACATTGATAAGCCTCCTCCCAACATAGAACTCACTGGCAATGGGTAAGTAGTTGAGCTGCCTTTCCTTTAATTTTGTTTTGTTTTATGGTTTGATGAGTCTAATGATTTATCCATTGATCAACCATTTTCATTAGCTCAGAGGTTTTTGTCACATCTCCTAACTGAAAATTCATAGCAGAATACCGATAGATACATGTATTAAGATGTGAAGTCAGCTGTTATTCCAGATACACCTGGATTTAGTACTTTGAGTCCCACACTTCAGAAAATCTTTCAGTCCCAGTTAAATCTGGACAATTGGTCACTCAAATGGGGAAGGGGAGAGAAAGAATGAGAGGAAGGGAGAAAGGGGGGGAGAAGAGATGGTAGAGAGAAACCCTAAATTAGTTTTCAGAAATTTATTAAGTTCTAGGCTGCTGTTTTCTAAAATAATCTAGCTAAGAGGAATAGATATGATTTTTCATACAGTATTTTCAAGTTTATTAATAGAAAAACAAGGCAAAGTTACTTCAAGAAATATACTTTTCAATGTACTAAGAGAATCAGTTGAAAACTCATTGTAGAAAACAATCTCTTCTCCCCAGTAACCTTAATTGTATTGGTTTTATCTATAGATTCAATTCAAAAGCAGCTGTTGCCATAGATACAACAGGTCTGTTTTTCTCAAATACTTTCTTAGGCTGAAAGGATGTTGGATTGCTCTCAGCTATCAGTATTAGGTAGTCTACCATTAGGAGGAGCTGGATGATGTATGGTGGGCATTAGGACGTTGTTTCTTATTTGAACCTTCTCAAGTACTGTACTATAGAGTATTTTAAGAGTTTCTAGAAGCCTTTAGTAATTTTTTTCCAACAAGCACTATTTCTGGTTTTAACTACCATTTCTCCTCTTCTTGCCCTCATCTTCATTCTCATTTTCCTCCTCCTCCTCCTCCTCCTCCTCCTCCTCCTCCACTGGACTTCATGTATTCCACCATACATGTTAAATCTCATCCTTGTCCTCATCCTCTTCCCCCTCCTCCTTCTCCTCCTCTTCCCCCTTTCCTCCCTCTTCCTCTTCTTCCCTCTTCCTCCTTCTCTCTTCCTTCTCCTCCTCTTCTCCTGTCTCCTTCCTTTTTCTCCTCCCCCTCTTCCTTTTTTTCCTTCTTCACAGTTACAATGCACTTACTGGCCAGTTTAGGAACAGAGTCATCAACACCAAAAGTTTTGGTGGTCAGTGCAGAAAAGTGTTCAGTGGGGATGGAAACGATTTCTACAGGCTGAGTGGAAATGTCCTCTCCTATACATTTCAGGTACTTAATTATGCCACTTTAGTTTATTTGTAATCTGTGAATTATCAGAGATCATTTTTTATAACATTATTTTTTGGTATTTGTTGAGAATTTACCTATGCATAGTATGAGATCAGTTTTTAATAAACATTTTATGTATTCTTAAAAAGAATCCATATTCTTTAACTCTTGGGTACAGGTCAATGATACCTTAACTTATTCTATTTAAGCTGATGTTCATGTGAACCTAGGAACTTTACCACCTGCCCTGTAGAAGTGTTACCATTCAAACCCTGACTATGATTTCCTTACTCTGTCCCAGTGGCAGTTCATTTAAAATACATTATTTTCAGGTTGTGAATATCTCATATTTACAAAGAAGCGTGATAGCACATATCTGAACCTGGAAGAAAAGCAATAAAACAAATGCCTGTGTACACCTATCATCCATAGTAAGAAGTGACTTACAGACATTCCTCTTTGATGACATTTCTCTCGCCCCCAAGGAAACCTCTATCATATAGTTTGTAATAATTTCCTTGCTTTGCTCTGTTATTATCTTGTGTATCTACATGAATATGTGTCCTTAAGTAAATATTTTTGATTTATTTATGCATGCTTTTACTTTTTATATAAATAGAATCAGTTCTGGAGAGATGGCTCAGTGGTTAAGAGCACTGGCTGCTCTTGCAGAGGACCCAAGTTTGGTTCCTGGCACCTGTATGGCAGCTAACAACTGCCCATAGCTCCAGTACCAGGGGATCTGATGCCTTCTTTTGGCCTCCACAAGCATTGCACAATCATGGCACATTTACATACATGCAGACAAAATACTCATTCACATAAAATATATATTCTTTTATGAGGTTATTTTTTTTGCTAAAATTAAAATCTAATGCAGATGTGATTTTTATTCTGTTCCCAATTTTTCTTATGAAAATTCATTGAACATTACTGTGCATGAGTCTTACACAAATGAGTTGGAGTTTCTTCAGGGCATATATCTGAAACTCAAATTGCTGCTTTGTAGGATATGCACATAGTAAACTTTACTAAGATTCCAAAATGGCGGTATCAATTTATATCCTACTCACTGTGTGGACAAGTGGCCGTGGCTCCATGTCCGAACTGGTACTGCCTGACTTTTCCCTTTCATTTTTGCTTCTGCTCACAGGGTCTCTTCTGACCCTCTGGCTCCAGACTTGTGCTCCTCAGGTGTCCCTACTGATGTGCATACTTAAACTCACCCTGTTTCTTGGTGCTGACACCAAATCTACTCATACAAAATACTTAAAGATTTCAGGGACTTTCCAAAGGATATGGTCTGTGTGGAGGGGGAGAGGGGAGGGAGGTTCAAGTACACATCCCAAACACATTCCAGTCATCCCAGTTGGCATCCTAATCTGCAAACTCCCTTCACACAGCCTCATTAAGATGAAGTTTCTGTTCTCACTGTTCTAATGTCATTTGCTTTCATCTTCCAGCAGCCTCTCTCCTATTCTGTTTCCTCCCTTCATCTCAGAACTCTCTGAATTTTCCAGTTGAGTGATCCTTATCTGTTACTAGCAAATTTGTAAGTTAAGATTACTACTGTTCAGATAGGAGGACCTTCTGCTCACCCGGATTAGATCTTCTATAGAAGCAGCTTTGTGAGTTAGTCACATTGGACATTTATTGAATCATGAAACTAAAAGAAGTACTAGGGATGTGGAAGGAGATGGAGAAAGGGGGAATAAGAACCAATAGCAGAGGGAATGAATAGGACTCAAGTGCATTATATGCATGTATGGAAATGTCATAATGAAATACCCCTGCTTTGCACAATTATGATATACTATTAAAAAGCATTGAGTCAAGAGAGTGAAACAGGCCTAGCATGATGGCACATGCCTTTCATCACAGCACTTGGGAGGCAGAGGCAGGCAGATCTCTGTGAGATTGAGGCCAGCTTGGTCTACATAGCAAGTTTCAGACCAACTAGGGCTACAGGGAGATCCTGTCTTTTAAAAAAAAAAAAAAGAATGTGAAACATAAAACTGATCTGAGAAGCAACTGTAGTTACCAGGTTTTGAATATTTGTTCTGTTTCTGCTTTGTTTTAGGCAATTGGTATGGATTTAATCCTTACAATATTCTTGGAATGTAATATTTTACTATTTTATAGTGAACACATTGAGGCTCAGAGGACTTCAACCAAATTAAAAACTAGCAAAGCCTGGATCCATTGTATCAATTCATACAGCTTTTAATTTTTCTATTACATTTCACTCTCCTGATTTCTTGCATTTAATTCCATTTTCAATTCCAAATTGTGTAGTGAATAACATACATTATAGTTTAACCTTTGGCTAGAAGGGATAACATGAGATAGGTGCGTGAAGATATTAGCAATTACTGTTAGTTTTGTATCCCTGGAAAGATGTGTTGCTAATTCTTTCATAATTATAAGGAAGAGGAATTGCATGTAAATTTTCAGAAGGGTCAAATTTAGAAAGTTACAGAGAAAAGGAAATAATGAGGAAGAATATTTTAGATTTAGTTGGAAGGTAGATGTGCTGGAAGTCTGCAGGCTGCTGAAGAGAATGATTTAACAGCAGCATGATCCTGACATTCATTTTCCCCAGCAGGGCTTGGTTTTGCGATTGACGTGCGAAATGCCTTTCCCGTCACTGAAAGTGAAGGTGTTTGTCAGAAGTAGAGGGAAATTATAGCCTGTTCCTGAGTGCAGTATAGTGATGATTGGAGGATTCAGCCAAAGGGAAGTGAGGTGGAAGCAACACGCAGTAAGCCAGTCATCTGAGTGCTAGACCCAGATGCAGAGATGGAGGCAGTGAGTGTCCCCCAGAGTTCAGATAATTGAACTAGGGCTCACTGGGTCGTCAGCTCTCCTCAGAGTACAGGGGGCTCTTGACTTACTTGAAATATCAGTATTAATAAGCAATTATGAGGCATTATAAATCGATCTCTTAAAACCTGCATTTGATTATCAGCTTATTATCAGGTTATGTTTTCCAGGGCAAACCTGGTCTCTTCTTGAGTAAGCTACTTACTCACATCCTCTGCTGACACAAATTTTTGTAGAAAGGCTTTTGAAATCCTGGCAAGCTGAGATTCATGGGTGTTTGGAAGGTGGCCCTCTGCTTTGCTCAAGTTGTAGATGGGGGTAAATTACAGATCAAGCTGGAGACACTTCTTGCATTCTTCTGTTTGGGTCATGAATGTATCTCATATTTTATTATTTTAAGTATTTTATTATCACCATCCTTTTTCTTTCTTTTCTTTTTTCTTTTTTTGAGACAGGATCTTGCTACAGCCCCAGCTGGCCTGGAACTCACTATGTAGACCAGGCTGGCCTTGATCTCACAGAGATTTGCCTGCCTCTGCCTCCCAAGCGCTGGGATTAAAGGTATGTGCCACCATCATATTTTATGATGAGAGACCCTACACACATATCAAATGAATAACAGAAAATAAAATTTTAATTAATTAATTAAAAATATTTTAT